CCCCCCCCCCCCAACCCCACAATCATAATACCGTATAAAGCAGATTTTATTTTTTTTAATCGTGAAAAAGTTTGCCACCCGGAAGCCTTCGACCCAATGGCGTTGGAAGGGAGCTACGGCAACTTTACGCCCCCAGGTGCTATGGAGGGGCAGTATTTTTGGAAAACTGCAGATTTTCTTTTCCTGGAAGGGGGTTGGCAAAATTGTTGCCGGGGTGGCTCTACACTAGCTTGTGACTGTTTCAGTCATTTCAGTCTGCTTCGATCCCCGCTAAGCACACTTAAATGTAAACTTACAACTAGGGTTTCTCTCCTGGGATTCCGCACAATTCTTAGTAAACAAAAGATTTCCCGGGAAATTTAACCGTTCCGGTAAATCCCGGGTCCATACTTTTTTTTAATAGCCTATAAATTTCGTGTCATGTGTTTATTGTGCAGGCGGTTATATAAGACTGTTGCCGTTGCTTAACACGCATATTATTAGCTAGTTATCCATTGCTAGGGATAAACCGTGGAGTGACCAACCTCTCAACTAACCTTAATTTTAAAAAAAAAATCATTTATAGAAAATCACATTTTAACAACTATAAAAATAAAATCTTTTGAAGTTGAATTCAGTTTAAGATATATTTTTAATTAAATTAATTTTCCCGTGATGAGGAAAACGTATTCCCGTTTTTTTCCGGATAAGCAAAATCCAGGGCAATGAGAATGAGAGACATTCGTTTCAATTTCAACCTTAAGAAAAAGTTGGGTGAGATTTTGTTTTCTGAAATTTAAGATTGCGTTTAGGTTAGAAATCCCGAGTTGACCGTTTAGACTGAAAAATGGGCTTGGTTGGTAACGCTTGCAAATTATTCTCTATGTGGTGTTTTTAGTAAAAAAAATAAAGAAGTAGTTAATTAAGTTAATTAAAAATTATTCTAAAATTTTATGTAATCCTACAATGTGGTCAACGAATTGGCTACAAATGTCAGAAAAATCAGGCACACCACCAACTCTAAACAAACAAAACGGAAGCGTATCCCACGCGGCTTTGTTATTACAGTGCTGTGTCAAAAATAATAGAAATAAACGTAAGATTTACTAAAAAGTTTCAAGCCTAATTCGTATCATGTAATTTTTCCTTGACTAGGTACTATTACTATGCATCGGGCCTAATAGTGGTTGTTGTTTTTTTGTCTGAATCGACATCCATTGATTGTTTTTGTTGGTAGTAATGGTAGTCACGTCAGTGATATTCTAGTATTTGTTCAGTGGGTGACCGTCCAGTGTATAAGTAAACAGTTGTAGTCTTTTGGCACTTAGTTTTGTCAGTATTTTGTATGAAATGTATGTAACATTTAATAGGTAAATTCCTATGTAGTTTGTGTATTGAAGTTTAGAACCTTTCTTGTAGGCCCTACTTGTAACTTGGGTCGCCAAAATTGGGGTTATTAGGGACCTCGGTATCGACCGGAAATACCCGAAAAACGGGTATCGTATTTTCGTTGTCATAATGGCGACCTCTACTTTTTAATTTACTTAGGGTATCATTGTTTCGCGTTTTATAATCGATTTTCAGCATAATAATATAATTTTACTTTAAGCCAATGACATTATTATCTTTCCTGTTATATTAAGAGTTCGTTTGTTTTTTTGGGTCAAGATTAAAGCTTCGAAAATTGAAGCTAAAAATTGGTCAACTTCCCTCAGTAATAACTTTTTTTTTAAAATGCGCTCCATCATAAACAAAATCCGCTCATATAATTTATAGGTGCATTTACAACATATCCAAAATTCATGAGTGTAGACCATGTCATTTTTTTAGGCTATGTAATTTGTCATCATGGCCACCGGGCTTGTCTGCTTATTTCCAATTATCGATAGCAGCCGTAGTGGGGTAATTAATAATTCATTAAGTTGGTTATCCAGACAGAGTTTAAAAGGGAAATATAACTAATAATAAATCATTTTATATAAATAAAAAATGTTTTATAATGTAAATAATTATTATTGGCTTATTGAATATCAATGATTTTAATTTTTGGGTTGGTTGCCATGGACCTGGCTGACTCTGACATGGGATTGATAAGCTCTTGTCTTTCACTTAGATACCGTAGTGATAGGCTTAGTAAAAGTATTATAATAATAATTATACTATTACAAATGATTTAAGGAGTGGGATGAATAGCTTTTATTACAACTAATATATTTATCATTTATATTAGTTTATATATTTATAGATAAATTTTTATTTGTATATATATACCGGTATATATGACCATAGGCTATAGGCCTTGTATACATATAGTATAATACAAAGTATACTATATCAGGGTTAAGGCCTAGACCCAACCCTGCTAATTTGTAGGGCCTATTATAATAAATTATATTGAATGATATTTTAGGATATGTAATAAAATTTTAATGAATATTGTGATTCTTACTTAATGCATAAACTAAGTAAAACATTTTAAAATATTCACTTACCTTTGGTATTGAAATATCCTATATTTAATCACATATCACAATATTCCACAAGAGAATTATTATATAATCCTCAGTTTCTCAAAGAAAAAACACACTTTCTGGCACTACAATCCAAGAATTACTTAAGATATTATTATTAAAGAACAATCTACTAGGGGTGTGCCGGATCCGTTTTTTCCAACCGGATCCGGATTTTCTTATGCGAAATCCGCCGGATCCGGATTCCGGAATATTCCGGTTTCTCCCGGATTTTGGTACTATTGGTAGATACTTCGGTAAGTCAAGGTGGACTACTACTTTTTGTGTATGGGAATTCGCAATCGGCGCCAAAAAATTCGAGTTTTTAATTTTCCGATGTGTGTGTCTATTTATTATTAAATTAGTACTTTCGATATATATTTGAGTTCCGTTCCATTTGGATATGTGTCTTACGAGAGACGCCATGTTTCTACGCGTTCGCAGCAGGTCATGCAGCTCGCTCAACCTAATTTCGCCATGGGGTTGGCCACGCCCCCCTTTTTAATGGCGGAAGTTGACGATACTTAGGAAATATTAATATATTATCACTATTTACATCAAAATAATTGATAACTTGTGTTTCAGAATGCATTTAAAGACATTTAAACTGGAATGTTTTAATTTGAGCTTTAACAACCCGGTAGAATCCATATTATAAATGATCAGAATTTACCGTGTGCAACACGTTGTCATTGGCAACCATTCACAGCCACTTGCATAACTGTATCGTAGTACTACCTCAGAGTTTCATTCATAAGAGTTTGCCGTGTGCAAAAACTATTAAACCATTGGTCAGGGAAAGCTTTAATTAATTATTCATGTGCCAAAGTTGAAAGTTTAAACTAAGTCTAAACAGTATTTTAGTGATAAGGCAGGGAATGCGTTGCCTTATATAAACTATATAGTCATTGCGCATGACGGGATTGGCGGAATGAGATCACAGAATGTGGAGATGCAGTCCATGTTAAAAAATGACAAACCAAGTCGTACTTTAAAAATTCATAACTTTAAAACTACAACAGCTAAAAATATGATTTTGGTGTTATAATTCTTTAAAAAATTACATCTTTTCAACTATGCCATTGGTTTATTTTTACAAAAAGTTTAAATTTTCTTATCAAAGTCCCTACACTATTGGCCACTATTAGCGGTGCTGACTCTAGCCTCTGGTATGTACGGAATATTAAACATTAAACAAGCTCAACGCTCGAAACAATCGATTAATGTATCGTGATCGTGTGGAATTCGGGAAAGAGAATTACTTTTATTTCAGATTATGATCCGGTGAGTCACAAAATCTGGCAAATTCCGAAATCCGGTTGTTCCGGATACATGTAAATCCGGCGGAACCGGATTTCACCGGATAGTGCAAAATCCGGCGGAACCGGATTCCGGACCGGACTCCGGCACACCCCTACAATCTACTTACCTCTAGAAAATGACTAGAACTTATTTTATTTAACAGCTACAGTTGATTCTAATAATACATGTTGATTTGTAAAACAAGATTACAAACTTAAAATAAATGACATGCAGATTGTTTTGTCATACTCATAGGAATAATATAATATATAGTATACATTATGTAGGAAATGGTAAAATAAAAAGTGTAATTGTCAATTTTAAATAAATAAAACAAATAATCCCTTTATTATTTGTTTATGCTTAATAAATGCTAAACAATTCCACAGAAAATCTGCAATTAATATCTAAAGATTATTATTATTATTATGATTTTTGGGAAATTAAAAACAAAATTAAAACAAAATTTTAATTAATTATTACAAATAAGTGATGAGTCAGTATTTTTATACATTTTTTAATAGGCAAATAATAAAGGTTTTTCTTTTTAATATTTGCGACACATTAACAAAAACTAACGTATATTTTGTGGCTTTATTTAGAAGTACTCTTATTTAACTATGTTCCCTGTAAATATTATATTTTTGCCTCATTTTATAATAAAGTTATAGGTGTTAAAAAAAAGCAAAATGTTGAGGAAAATCCCATACGGTAGTAAAAAAGTGGTTTTGAGGTCCCTACTAAAAAATTCATAACTTTTAAACCACTTGAGCTAGAAAGTTGATCTTGGTGTTTTTTTAAATCTATTCTCCAGGCTCTATACAGCTGTAGTATTTTTATATTTTTTGAAATTTTCATCAAAGTGACTAATTATAAGTAAGTCACTGTAACTGTAAGTACCTTTATAGTGTTTAGAGTTTCATATCTCTACTCATTACTGTCTCCAGGAAAAGGTAGCCGCCTTAATTTTTTGGGTAAGGATCTCCTGGGTTCCTCCCCTTCCTTCTGAGTAGGTTCTTATTTTCGTCCGCCCTGGGTATTTTATTTACTCAGTACCCAATCTCCGGTGGCCTTCCCCCTAACCGGGGGGTGGGGCACTCGATGGAAGATCAGTATCTTGGCACGAGTTACTTAGGCATAGGTTAGGGGTAAATATCCTCAGTTCAGTGTATCTTATTTTAATTTAGGGGCCATCCATAAATAAGTCACGGGGTCAGTTTTCTAATATTACTACATCTTAATCCATTATGGGAAAATGTCAAAGAATAAAATAAAATCTTAGTTTAGTTATGAAAATTTTTTGTATGTTTTGAATTATTTTAGGTGTGACATGACAAGGGGGAGGGGTGTTAAGCAATGGGAGATCACAATAAAAGCGGAACATTATTGAAAATAATTACACTTAAATTATAATAACATAAATTTCATTTTGCACATTTTAAAATAAAGTAATTAATAATTCCTTTTTTTTCTTAAAAATGCGTACCAAATTCGACACCCTGGGGTTTCCAAAGACACGGGACCGAATTCCCAAAACTTAACCAGTTGAACCAGTTTGCTTGCTCAGGGGCCGGGCAGATTGTTCTACATTTTTTTCATTTTCTTCTAATTTTAACTTCAGTCCTATAGTTTGAGTTACAATTTCAATGATAGCATCAAATATATTCTTAATTACAATTCTGAAAAATTTAATTTTAATACGTTTTGATTTCCAATAATTTACCTTGTTTAAAAAGCGTGTTTTTTTTCCTGCAATATATCACGTTAATGGTCACTTTGCTTATTATATTTAAGCTATAATTTATAAATGTGGTTATAACTTCAAAACGCTTAAGAACAATGTGTACTAGAGCTACTTAGCTTAATTAATAATTCAGCACAGGTATCTACAATTTCCCTGGCTTATTTATATTACTTAAAATGACACTTAGTGGCAATCTGCCAAAATAAAATATTTGGGATTTTCCGGGATGGGAAAATTTCTCATTCTCAGTCTTTTGTTTAAATAAAATTGTTCTGGATCCCTGGAAAGTAACCCTAGTCTGACTTGATTAGTATACTCCTTTTCATTATCTGTCTCATCCCATCATATAAAACTATGAGTCAATCCAGGCATACATTATTTAGAACGTATTTGTGACTATCATGCACATAGCCCACATTACTTATTACCTTGTGGTTCTTTAGACTCTTAGTATAAAGACACTTAAATTTATATAATAATATACCAGCTAAAGTTAATTTTAATTGTGAAAATCCACACATTGATTGATGCATTATAATCTGCAGTTTAATTATTTGGTAATTAAAATGTATCCCACCCTTTACCCAGTCACTCAGATTTCCAGGTGTTGAATAATTATTCTACGTTACTAAAATGCTTCTGTTCATTATTTTTGCTTTTCATCCTATTTTTTTTTTAAAGCCATGCTAAAAAAAAGGTCAAAAGCACATCTTTATAATAATACTTAAATTGTTGTAACTATCTTGCATAACTCATTTTTACAGATTGAAATCCTATGATGGGAAAGAGCAGAAAGTCAGATGCGAATCAGTCTGTTGATGATAATGATGACTCTGTCGTCAGCAACAGTGGGAGAGTTAAGATCAGCTGGGAAGACAAAGTCAAATACCTCAGCCCTATTGCTAGTCCCCTTGCTTCAAAAAAACTGACCAAAAGACTATACAAAATTATTAACAAGGCAAAGGCGAACAACTCCCTATATAAAGGAATTAAAGAAGTGCAAAAGCGGCTGAGAAAAGGTGACAAGGGAATTATAGTTTTAGCTGGAGATGTCAGCCCGCTTGACATCATATCACATATACCTATCATGTGTGAGGAAGGAGAAATTCCATACTGCTACACACCTTCCAAAAGTGAACTGGGGGAATCATATGGTACCAAAAGACAAGCCTGCATAGTTCTCATCAAAGAAAATGATGCATATAAAGATGCTTTTCAGGAGATCAAAGCTAAAATTGCTGAAATACCAACTTCTTATTAAAATTTGAACATTTTGAAATGATGTTTTTTTGTAATTATTATCAGTAGTATAAGATTATTAAGATCATTGTCCATTTGTGACAGCCTCTATTCTCTACCCACACTGGTTTATAAAAGTAAAATATAGTCAAATAACTATTCACTTGGAATTGTTAATTTACATGGTCACACAATGTAAATTAAATGAATGATTTATCATTTATACATAGTTTTGACCCCTGATTTTTTTCATGGTAGTACTAGTAAAGTATTTTATTTTACTTTGCAGTAGTGATATTTTTTTTATAGTCTCCACCACCCTGTTGCTTTTTGTTAACATTGGTTGTCACCACTGTTTGGCGAGCCAGTGGTTCCCTAAATACAAAATATGCACCACGTCACCCTAGGGTGCCGCATTGCCCTCAGGCAAGGCCATAAGAAGGGGGTACTCCTATAAAAACCCATTTGCTGTTCACAAATACAACTCTGGCTTATTATTACTGACTTTAAGCCCCAAGCGCCTTATTTTAAAAATATATTGAGGGACGCAAAATTCATGATTCGCCTTTTCGACTGACCCAGGCCACCTCTGATCAAGCCGATTCTTGCATGAAACGTTTTTATTGCAGGGGATTGATGAAATATCTCCAAATGCAGAGTCAACTTGGGCTTCTTCTGTCATGTCTTTTGTGCTTTGTAGCCGGTGTTCTGTTGGCTTAATATTTCCATTTTTGTATTATATTTGTTGTTAGAAACCTTGGTGTACAGAGGAACGCAACCAGTGTTTCTTTCAGACATTTGCCTCCAGGGGGATATTTCAGATTTTTGGGGGGAAGAAGGGGGACCAGTGGACAGTAGCCAGAGGTGTAGCTAAGGGTTTCCAAACTTTCAGGTGGGAAGCACCAAATTTAGCCACAATAATAATGATCAGTCAAAGACATCTCTAACTCTGCACTAGTGGGACATGAACTAGATTCATTCCAGTTGTGTTGCCATCGAGTGTATGCTTTTGCCCTGGCTTATTCTCGCCCCTTAAATTTTTATAGTTAAAGTTCCCACATAATTTTTGATAAACCCAAAAATGCATTTTAGCACATGTCTGAATTTTGTTTTGCAACATTCTACACTTAATTGGAGAGCAATAGAAGAGATGCAAATTAAAAACAGGCAACCCCTGCAGGTGGCCACGGATATTTTAGCGGCTTAAAGATGTGATGAAGATATTTTCTTAATTATCTTTCAATGCAAGATGGGGGAGGACAAAAAGTTGACCTGCTTATGTTATGCAAAATATTATATTGTTAAAAGAGTAATGTGGCTTTTTTATTCGCATAATTTTTTTAAAAAGCGTTCTATCACTAATACTAGTAATACCGGTACTAATAGCACTGCAAACATCATTTCTACTCGAACGTAAATTCAAAAATTAAAAAAAATTACTTATAATTATTATCTATTATAATTATCTTCTCTAAATACCAGTAATTAAAATTCAGAGTCCAAAAGAATTTTTGTTTAAACTGTTAAGTCGTAGAAAGGTCTACATTTTTATACGCTATCAAAACTGGTCATTTATATAAATCATATATGAGCGGCATAATTATGTTAAGAAGTTACCAGTGCAAAAGACATCATGTATTTATTAATGTGCGGTTTTATCTGAGGAAATCATATACCTTAAAAATAAAGTACACATTTTCCAAATATTCAGTTGATTGAAGAATTTACCTGGCATCTGTATATTGGAAATACGGTACGGTACCTTTCTTCAGATAAATTACAAATCGCCTCATCAATATAGCATGCATACACCATGTACATATATCATTCATAAATTTAAAAACAATTAGAAAACTCAGACAGAAAAGATAGAAAACAAAAATTAACTAACAACCTAATAAAAACAAAATACATAAATAAAAAAACTCTGAAAAATTTTCCTTTGAGATATTTGTTTAAAAATCATCCATCATTAAGTTGAGAATGTCAATATAAATAAGCATGGAAAGTTTCAACTATGTAGTTCCAAAACTATTCCTCCTGATTCATCAATTGACGTCAGAAAAAAAAATGAAAATGCTATATTGATAAAAGCTGAAAAAGACACTGAAAAATGCTTATTAAAAAAATTTAAGGTTACTTGAACAACATTGGATCCATACATCATGAACACATTCCTCTCATTAATTAAAAAAAAACAATTTAAGTACATAGATATATAATTGATAGAATATAAATGAATGCATTTTCCCAACAACCCACTTGCCTCGAGCCTAATAAAAATAATAAGATCATAAAAACTTCGGAATTTTGTTTATGAGACATGTAATCATGTAATAAAAAAAAACATCAATCATTATGTCGAGAATATAACAGAAAAAAACGTGCAAATTTTGAAGTATGTGGTAATAATACTTATTCTCATAATACATTTGACGTCAGAGATAAATGGAAAATCCTAAGTGGACCACTTTAAAAAGAGAAAAAATTCAATTAAGCAATATTAGAAATATAGGAGTCAAATAAAATGAAATTATTTAAAGCATATCAATGTGAAATTATCACAAAAGATAAGAATTTTCTAGATATTTTTACAAATGTTAAACAATATTGTAGAACATGATAATTTTTTTAAAATAAGAAATCAATAGATTCAGTTTAGGAAACAAAAATATAATAAAAATGGTCATTTACACAATTTTGTAAAATAATTTTCAGCACATTAAAAAAATGTACATATTTATAAAAGTAGCTGAAATCTTTCGGAACCAATCATGCGAATTAGCAGTGAAAATAAATTTACAAGAACAAGTCAAGACTGACGATTATCTCAGCAAGGCCTTTTCAAACCCAGTTGTTGGGTTCAGCTGTCTATGTTCTATATACAGGTATTCACTTTTCTGCGTGTTAACTTGTCCGTTGGTTTACTAGTCCTGTGTTTGGATGTGTTATGGTGAGTTGTGGGTTTACTTGTCCTGCGTTCATTTGCGCGGCCACCGCAGCGGACACAAACCATAAATTTTATGCAGCATTAACGATCAGAAATCTGCTTAAAGTAAACCTATACACGGGTAAGCCGCGGCGACTGCGTTGCTGCCCACGGCCTTACTAAACAGAAACATTTCCAAACAGAGCAAGGCCGTGGAGGCCACGTCGCTCTAGCTATGCCGACGTATTACTTTAGTGTATCAGAGAAATTCTCTGAGAATGACTTTGGTAATCAGCAGGCCAGACAAGGGAAAACGGAGCATGGGCAAAAAAAAAGGTGCGAAGCGAGAGACTCGGCTACGTAATAGAATTCCACCAACAACAGAGACTGAGAGAGCGACCAATGTCCAAGCGTTGGGTGATGTGTAATGAGTCCTCATAATGAGCAGATCTGGGAAACGTTTCGAGCGGACCAGGGGTTATGTTGCGATATGTTAACTAGAAAGTTGTGCCACCCCACTACCACTAAGTTTTAAAAAAAACAAAAAAACAACAACCTCTCCAGCTCGTCGAAAATGCCGCCCCTCATTATAAATTTAAAACAAAAGTGGCACTAGTGTGGACCACCCCCTCCTCAGCCCCCTTCCTATGCAAGTGGATTGACTTTTTCTCGACAATTGTGAGTCATAGTAGTATTTAGTAGGCAAATAAGCTATTTAAATGGTCTGTGGTTTGTCAGCTCTAGTTTGATAGATGGCACTTAATTATTTAGATGCCACCTAAGTTGACTCTGGTTTGTGGTGAGTAAAATGAGAGGCAGTGTTAATGATTTTATTATGTATCTGGATGGAACCAAGTTGCTTTGTTAGTCATCCGTTTGCAATGGTGTTTATTTCGCTACTGACATATATTTCATTACTTTCCCGCTTTTTGCCTCTTAGTCTTAGTAAATCTCCAGCTATTTATTGAGATAGAAATTGAAACTGTCACAAATTTTGAGAAAGGAAATTGACAATTTTATTTAAAGTTTTAAGTTTTAATAAATATTTCCGACATAACCCCCACCCTCAAAATTCTAGCCGCGTAACGTCCGTAATGGATGCACAACCGTGCAAAGGAAAAGCAGCGCCCTGGGCGAATGCGCCCCCTGATATTGAGGTGCCTTGCGAGTACCATCTTTACATTGCTGTGCATGGATCCAGTGGGCTAGAAAGAAATATCAGACAAAGTAGATATAGATCTATGAAATTTTAAAAAAATTATTTAAATCTAAATATATCCCATTGGGCAACTTTTATAACGTATCTTTGAAGACAGAAGAGTTCTCCTGGTTTTCGCAAAATGGCGTCATTTATGACAAAAGATTCATGAACTGTAGGCTACTTTAAAAAAAAAATTGTTCAATTTTGTTAAATGGTTATTGTACATGAACAAAAAGACGCTATTTTAGGCCTTTAGTTTCATCAGGTAAAGAGGAAGTTTAAATTTTATATCACTAGAAATAATTAATCGCGCTTAAATGTCATTGCCTTACTGGACCTTAACACTTAACTGGCTTAACTGAACTGCCTTAACTTGGCTGCTGGCCTTAATTATTTTAATAAGGGCAGACTAATTACTAATTAGCCTAATAAAAGGGCAATAATAACTTAAATAAGGGATTACCTTACCACATGTTTTTATATTGTTGCTTTACTTTTAACTTTTACTTTACCCTTTACAGTACTTTACTTTTCCTAATTTAGGCGTGCTAGAAGGCTGGCACATAATTCACATATGGGGGGGGGGGGGGATTATTGCATCAGACCTGTTAACTCTTACGATTTTGGCATATAATGTAGGCTACTATTTTTAGATGTTTTTTATGATTTTTATAACATGCTAATCAGTGTCATTAGTCCTCTCCATTTTCCTGTATGCCTGCGAATCCTGGACATTAACAGCTGATCTTGAAAGGAAAATAAAGGTGATGGAGATGAGATGCTTCAGAAGCATTTTTGGCATCTGCTATAGGGACCTTATCTCCAATGAAACAGTGAATGAAAGGGTTCGAAGGCAATTGGGGAATACGATGACCTACTGGTGACTGTGAAAAAAGCAAACTACAATGATACGGCCACCATAAAAGGAAACAAGGGCTTGCCAAAGAAATATTGCAGGGGACCACAAGAGGAGGGAGAAGAAGAGGAAGACAAAGAAAAAGATGGGAGGATAACATCAAAGAGTGGACAGGACTAACACTGGGCGATGCAGTGGGTAGTG